CATACATACATACATACATACATACATACATACATACATACATACATACATATATATATACATACACATACATCCATACCTACGTACAGTAACAAACATACATACATACATACATACATACATACATACATACATACATACATACATACATACACACACATACATACATACATACATACATACATACATACATACATACATACATACATACATACATACACATACATACACACAAAAACCATGTGTTGTCACAATATGCATTTTTGCATTTGCATAAGTATGCAAAAACATATAAAAATTGTAGATAAAATTGGCAATAGCTTTGTTCAAAGCTGTTTGCTCATATACTACAGTGGAAATAAACCCTGCCAGGTGTCTGTATACGTCCCAGTAAGAGGGATCGAAGACCAACCGGTTCGTTGTAGCCTTGCACTGATCCGTCAGTTCCAGCTCGGACACGATAAAGCCATCCATTTTTACCCGCTTCTCGGATATCGCTTCGGAATTTCTTCGAATCGACCAGTGGCTCGAAGTTGGCCGTATAATTGCCATCAAATGCCCGCTCAACTGTGATGAATCCGAGCGGATCAAAAACATCTGTTGCTGCAAAATGGGGTAGTTGTGATTAAGGTGACATTATAATAAAAAGATGCACGCCACAGAAGTCAAATTCGACACCAACTCTCCCCTCTACATCAGAATCTGATAAAAAAAGCGCTTCCTCCATCATCACACTGGAAACTACGCCGCTGTGACTTTTTCCCAGACGAGATCTCGATCTCTGTTGGTCTTTCGAGTGGCTTTGCACTTTAAAAAAAAAATTATATTCTGTGTTATTCAGGACGTAGCCAAGCCATGACTACAGACGAAACTTCCTCCGCCATTACACTGGAAACTACGCCGCCCCGACGTTTCATCAGACAAGATTCCGACCTCTGTTGGTCTTTCGAGTGGTTTTGCGCTTTAAAAAAAAAAAGAAAAAAAAAGAAAATTATTTTCAATGTTATTTACACTGTTAGACTGTAGCCAGCTCAAAACTATAAAAGGTGTCGGCAAGGAGAGGAATAATGCAATTGGATAAATCAAGAAAGAGACCATTACCACAATATTCTGAAGTAGCAAAACGGTAACTTTATTTTAACAGACCTATGAGGATTTAATAAGATCGCAAATCGACTTCTGAAGAGCTTATGATGCACTTTTCCTCATGAAAGCCTGCTTAAAGCATGCCATAAACGACCGTAAATAAGCCAAAGGTTCAGTTAGCAGCTTTTAAGCTTCTGTTCATTTACATATTTGGGTGACGGCAGTCGTTTGCTACAAAACACACTCGTTTCTGATTTTTCGTCAAAGCTGAGTATTTCTCACGCCTAGCTACAAGGAATTCCGCCTCCAAGCATAATTATGACCGCACTTTAAAGTAGAATATCCCACACTTATGCAGTTCAAATTTACCAAGCACCGAGATCCAACATTCCAGATGCAGTTAGTAGCTCTTAAGCTCCTACGATATATTTCTCCAAATTTATTCGCGCAAAAACTTTTGTCCAAAAGACAGAAGCAAGCGTCGAGAAAAAAAGCAGGCCCTTCGTAAAAAAAAACAAAAGTGAAGTATCGAAAAATGCACAAATAGGTACCTGAAGCTGAGTAGAAGAGATCAATTTTCCAAGCTCGAATACTCCGCACGAACAACAGCAATAAGCACAGTATAAACTCCGGAGGCATTTCTGCAAAATTTAAAAATTGAATATTTCTGACCAGTTCGTATAAAAAGACTTTGAACTCTACCACAGCTGGATCAAGGACGGTCTCTTGGGGGAGGGGGCGGGAGTCTCCGTTCTGGAACCTACTTCGCTATCCCTTTCCATCTTGGACCATGCAAAAACTAGGAATAGAGTTGTAACACTGCTACTTAGAGTTGGTTGAGTTTTATTATGCGTTTTTGCATCTATGCAATGCAGAAAACGCATATTGACGAAAGGCTGCCTCTGTGTGTATGTATGTGTGTGTGTGTGTGTGTGTGTGTGTGTGCACGTGCATGTATGAGTTCGTCTGTACCGATTTTTCAACTCGAAACCAACAAAAGCTACAGAGCTGAAACTTTGGAAACTTAATTCCCATGCATGTACGGACCTCCATCCCCAAAATGGGCACTCTTACTCGCGTGGTGCCCATGCACCCGCCCTCAAAATTTTTTTATGGGTAAGTCGATAATTCGGGGACCTGTAAAGCCAGAAGACTGTAATTTTAAGGAAATGTTCCTCGTCCACATAGGTGTTAATGAGCTCAAACTCAAACACTGGGTGTGCTTGGGCCACCGAAATTTCCCCGCGGGTAAGTTACTAATTCGGAGCCTTAAAAGCTGGAAGACTGTAGTTTTAAGGAAGTGTTTTTTGACCGTCCTGCCGGCCAGTCTTAATTCGTTTAGCAAGAAACATCCGTTGCCATTTGCAACAAAAATCTGCAGCGAACTATGCGAAAAACGCATCTTCGCATCGGCAGTCGGTGCGCTGGCCATTCATTTATGAAGAAATCCGGGCTTTTGCAACATTGGTGTCTGAAATATGTAGAGATAGACACGGTTTTTACACCCACAGCTGGCTAAAAAACGAGATAAATGAATGTTTATTGTAAAACACTGGGGAACAACATACAACGTATACAACAAATACATATAATACATGAAGTATTTTCAGAAAAACTGATTCTATTATTGTATTTACACTGTTATTTCAGATGTGCACAAAAATCAAGGAGGCGGTAGATACCAAACGGAATTGTGAAATAGTAGAATACAGGAAATGGAGCTAGGAGTCGTGTGTAAGAAGGTATTTTATGATGCAGCCTGTGTTTCATCCCTCCGAACTATGAAGCTCAGGATCGGAGTGTCTGGTATAGCCAGGAAGCATTACTAACATGGAATATACAAATCGAATAGTCCAAAACCATCGTGG